ATATATAATTTTTCCATGCAATGCATATAAAAGAGAAGTAAATAAATAAATGAACATACAATAAAATGATTAAAGCAAAGAGATTATATCCAACAAAGTCTTATTTTTGATGCCTAAAACAAATAGTACCCTTAAATCCAAAAAATCAAATTGTTGGGCCAAAGCTGACTTGGGTTGAGTATTTTAAAAACTGGCTCAAGATAGGTCTTGGTCATGGGTCACAGGTTGACTAGGTAGATTCCTCTTTCCTTTTTTTTTTTTTTTTGAAATCCCAAGCTTTGACTTTTTAAATCCCACTCCTTTTCTTTCTTTTTTTTCTTATTTTTCTTTTTATTTTTCTTTTCGAAACAACGAATCTAGTCCTCTTCCTCCCTTTTTTTTTCATTTCTTTCCTTTCTTCTACTTTTTTTCCTTCTTTTCTTTTCTTCTTTTTTTCTAATTCTTAGTCGTTGGTTCGGTGTTGCCACCAACCTGCTATTTCTGCCTATTATAAGCTCTGGTTTCCCCTTTATTATCTTTTTTTTCTTTTTTTTTCTCTTTCTCTTTTTTTTTCTTCTTTTTTTTAACCGCTGAAACTCAACCTTTTTTTCTTTTATTCTCCTTTTAAATGAATGCTACCGCTTTTTTTTTTCATGGATTGATTGTTCTCACCCATTGGTGAAGATTGTGGTATATTTTATTTTTTTATTTGGTTTTTGAAAAAAATGAAAAGATTTTTTTTAGGTTCTTAGGTAGGAATTTTTCTTGGGTGTTTACGTTATTGGCAATGTTGGGCTCTTGATTTTAAGGATGGTAGGTTGGGATTTTTGATTATAAGATATGGAATGAGGGTGCAGGGTATTTGGATCTTAATGGTTTAGATAGTGGGTTGATAGTAAAGGTTGGCATTGAGAGGTTTGTTCGACCATTGGTGGTGCTAGTTGGAGAGGGCCAATTACTAATGGTGGTGCTAGTTGGAGAGGGCCAATTACTAATGGTGGTAAATAGTAGGAAAATGGGTGGTTGTCAATGAAGGGATTTTTTTTTTGCTTCAATTTTTAGTGTTTTTTTAGCATTACTACATCATCCCCTTATGAATCACTCTAGGATTTCATTAAGAAGGCTGTTAGCTTAAAAACTTGAATAAATAAAAAGGGATAAATTGATTAATTATAAATTTTAACAATTTTATTGCCAATTAACACAATAATCATAAATATCAATTTCTAAGCTAATAAACACAAAATATGATCACAATGATAGCTTGAAATGTAAAGAGAAAGAGTTGAAAAATCAAACATCGAGATTTATAAAGGTTCAACCTTTCTTCTAGGCATTTACATCCTCTCCTTTAATGTCACTTACTAAGGAGTTGAATCCATTATCAAATGTTGAATGTTACAACCTAACTTCTTTTAAGGTTTGATACAATCAACACAACCTTTTAAGGGTTATCTTCCCTTTTAAACTCATAAGCTCACAATACAAATGAAATTGTTTTTGCAAACTTGATGACTTTTCTAAGGTTGGGTGTTTGCAATTTTGAAGTAAAAATAAGTGATAAGAAAGATATCAAAGATAAAAATGAATGCAAGATGAATTTTTTGCTCTTTCACACAACAATAAACCTTTTAATGCTTGAAGAAGATGGATGATAGAAGCAATTAATTTTCTAGGCTTGTAAAATTACTTGCAATTTGGTGGGAGACTTTAATTTACATGTAGAAAGGTGAAAAGAGCCATTAGTTTCATTTAATACTTAGAGCCTCTACAAATTACAAGAAAATATGACCGTTTAAGCTTGTCAAGGTCAAATCGATCGATCTTGTATTGAAGAGGATCGATTGGTTCTAGCTTTGAAACCCAAAATGCACTGCATTTAAACAACACTTGATTGATCTTGTCATGTAACTGATCGATTGGTTTTCAAGTTTTCAAACCCATTTTGCTTCTGTTTAAAAATTCAATCGATTGGTTTAAAGAAGGGATCAATTGGTTCTATAAAAACCTTGACCTGATCGTTCTTTTTGGAGGAGATCAATTGGTTTTTGCCATTTTGAAAATCAAGAGCATTCTATGTACAAAATGGATTGATCGATCTATAGCAAAATGGGATCAATCTGGTACTTGAAGGGATTGATCTTATCCTTCAAAGGATCGATCCCTTATTTCCTTTTAAGCATAAAAATATTTCAAACAAAGGGAAGAAGATTGTTTTTTTATTTACAAACATTTTTCACTTGATAAAAGGCTAGAAAACATTCTATAAAAATTGAAAGCAATTTATTTCAATTTAATCAAATATTTTGTTTTGTCATTTCAAAATAATCATCAACTCAAAGCTAACAAAGGCTATGATTAAGAGCCTCTTCTACACTTTTGTATGAGAATTCAATTTGATGTAAAAAGTAATTGAGATTTTTAGATTGTTATTGCAGCCACAGTTGTTGCATTTTGGTTCATGAGCATGTAGTAATCCTTGTTATGGTGCCAAAGGTGAAAATATGAGGTAAAATAGGTTAGCTGAAAATAGTGTTGGCAAATAGGGGAAGAGAAAGCAAAATCTGCGAAGAAGGAAAAATGAAGGAAGCCTGCTACAATGGCAGCCGATCTTCTTGTTTTTCTTTTTGAAAATTTTTTGACTTTTTTGTGTATTATTTTTTAATTAATCACAATTCTAATGAAACTAAGCTTTAAGATTGTATTTGGACCTATTTAATTGGATTCTAGGCCTTAAAAAAGGATTTGGACTTTTATTGGGTCTTTAAGCCAATTGAACCATGAGTGAATTGAATTGAGTTTCAACCCCCTATAAAATGAACACGAGAAGCATTTAATTCAAAATAAAGCCAAAATGAGCCCAATTAAATTAACATCTTTGAATTGACCCAAGTTGGTATGTCCAAATCAAATTGACTTTGTGGAGATAAATTTTTAAGCAAATTTAATTCAGAACATTGTCTAAAATTGCACATATTTAATAATTATATATAATTTTTTGTAAAAAAAAAAATCGCAACACGATCATAAATGCAATGAAAGAATAACTCTGTTAATTCCTTTGACCAGCCGAAAATTGATTACGTAGTTCGTAAGAAGCTGCAGCCAAAAATTGGTCCCAACCCTTTACGCGTTTAATTATTAGCTCACCTACCTCTTGAAAGATACGTTGATAATTAATTAAATTTAGACCCTTCTTTTGCTAATGGATCAGTCAGAATTTTATGTCTTAGTTATTAATATAATTTCCTGGTTTTTTTTCAAATCCTTAATTTTTATCTTTTTTGAGCTGCAGATAGTTTTTAGATTTTAATCAGTACATTTTTTAGTCAATTTAAGTAAATTTATTTACATCAAATTTAATAAATTCATAAAAAATTATCTTTATGTTTCATAATCCCTTTGATTGAACCATCAATTTTTTTTAAGAAACTATTATATAAATTTTTTAAGACCTACAAATCAAAGAAGAAATAGGATGCATAATTAAAAAATTATGCTATACGTAAGTATATATATAAAAATCTAGACCTTAATAATAACTATCATGTAAGATAAATAAAAGAGTGTGAAAATCGATTTCATTGAATAAAGAAATTGATGGAACTCTCATGCTATCTCGTTTCTGGAGAATTTGAGATTAATTTAAATTCAAATCTTATAACATGCAACAGGTAAGATATGCATGGATAATGGCTAACTAATTAGGGCTAGCTGAGTTTTTATAATTGTGTAGCCTTTACAGTAAATTAAAATTGAAAACATTAAGGATAATTTATAGCATTAATTAATTGACAGGCCAACTAGAGGTGGTTTACTAAAAGAAAATACATAAATTGGTATGGAAACCAAACATTAAAAACTCAAATGAGAAGGTAGGTAGAACACTTTAAAGGCCATGATAAAATTAAAATCTCATTTATTGTGGGTTAGGTATATTAATGAATTACTATAGTAAATGGCCTTTAATTAGCTTCATGCTGCAACCATAATAAAGCTCATCATTTGACAAAGTTTGGTGAATGCAGTTTTCAAACATTTATAGGACACAACCATATTTTTGTACATCACTATCATTTTTATGAATCTGCCAAGAGTACGTTGAGTTGAAATGGACGGAAAACAAAGAAGAAAAGTTAAAAAAAAGAAAAAAGAAAAATAAAGTTGTACATGCCTTAAAGCTATTGGGAAGATGGCTAAATTGTTGAGCACTCAAAGTCAGGATCTAGAATTAATGGATTTTTCCATTAATAGTTTCAGACTTTATAGCATTCTGTTGAGTTTCTTCCCTTTTCAGTTGGATCAGAATCATTGAAGGCTATTTAAGTAGAACAAGCTTGTCAATGGTACAACTTATATGCAAGAACCATGTTTATTATATTGCAATATAATTAATTTACTTATTCAATTTAAATTAATTAGGACTTGTTATTGTTTCAATTCATATTGTGGTCAGAGTTTTAAACGAGTAACATTATTAAATGTGATTTAAAAAGAGGATAAAAAAGTTTTTTTTAGAGGAAATTTAATAGTTAAAAATTGTGATAAGTTGACAGAATGCTGAATTTTTAATTCTAATGATTAAGATTTTATCATTGCCATTAAAAAATACAAAAATAAAAAATTTTAATGCTAATAGGTTCTCTTAGTAAACATTGGAATTTGGATTTTATTGCCTACACAAATTAAAGAAATAAAAGAAATTTGAAGAGTATAATGATGCAGCTTCCTTGAAATTTAGGGTTCATAAAGTTCATTTAAGCTTTCCTTAATATTGAAACTTACTACAATTATACTTAGAATTCACACACTCACGCACATATATATGGTGAAGAACAAGTACACCTAACTTGGGTCATTTCTAATCAAGTTTATTACATATAAATTAGTTTTTTGAATGAAAGAAAGCTTAAAACCTATAAATCTTAAACTATCAACAAGGCCTTTAAACTTAAATATTTTGAAATATAATCCAAGGATACCATAAAATGGAATTAATGAGTAATTTAAATGTTAAGCTAACTTGTATTAACAATGGATATAAAACATAGAAGAAATCTGGAATCAAAGAAAGGGATAAAAATTTCTATCAGATTTGCCAATAACAACCACCAACACCAAACGTTTTTTTGTTTCTTTTTGGTCTTCACCATCCTTTCCAATATACATATACTCAAATTTTGGTAATATTTCTATATTTAATCCTTAATTAATCTAACATTTACAAAACTATAAGCATTGGATATTAAAGCTAGAACAAGTTGATGTTGTCCGGCCGGTCCTTCAAATCGATATATTGAGATCAATGCGAGGCTTCTTAGCAGCGGGCATTGGAACAACAGTATTGCATCTAGGGCATTTAGGTTTATGTTTCATTATCAACACATAGGATAAGCATCTAGGGCAACCTGCTGCAACCGGTGATGCAAACAACTTCTGATCTTCACCTTCACCCTCTTGCGAATCTTTGACTGAAGATGATGACGATGAATATGAAGGCGATAAGGATGATTTCCAGAATGATGATCGCTTCTTAATCGGCTCTTTCTCAGCCCTTTCGAGCGCAGATTTTACTTTGTCGAGGGTGCACACACTCTGGTAGTTGCTTGAGGATGATGAGACTAATTTCAATTCTACGTTGCCCTCATCAAAAAGGTTTAGCAAAGGTTTAGAAGGCGATGGCGGGAAATTTAAATCTTGAAGCTTTGGCACTGTTTGATTAATTTGGTGCTTAGTTCCATCCGATGACGATGAAGAATTTGATGAATTGCATCTTTGCAAGTAGAACTTGCCCGACTGCAACCACAACAATAATTGAATCAAATATTAAATAACAAAATGAAGCAATAAATTAAAGAAAAAATATTTATTAAAATAAAAAAAAGAATTCAATGTTGTAAAATTAAGTAAATTTGAAGATTCAAATCGAGAGAAGTAATAATAATTAACAAAGCAAAAAAAAAAAAAAACAGGTAAGAGCAATGAATCGCATAATTAAATTTAAGGTAAATAAATGCAAATTTTCGTGTTATTAATTGCTCATTAAATCGATTTCTACAAGGAAAAAAAATAATATTAGAATTTGATTAGAAATAAATGACATATTTCAGTTGGAAAAACTAACCAGGCAATCAAATTGTAGGATTTTTTAAAAAAATAAATAAAAGCCGGCTTTAATTTGTAGCGGAAGATATTTTGCTTTCTGGAGAAATAAATGCTGATTTAACTCTCTCAAATCCTTCTCCATTTTCTCAGAACCAAAACAGAGGATTTTCAAAGAAAAGACAAACCCAAGAAATTACTTTAGATAAAATATATATTTGACTTCCAAAAAGCATGCTGGTAGGAAAATCTCCCAAAAAAGGAGAAAATTACATAAAAAAGTATAATTGACTAACATATAGAATCTAACATGACTAAACTAAAATCACAAAGTTTCAGAGGTGATCAAATAAGGTAGAAAGTTTGGGATTTGAAAATGTTTTGCAGAAAATTTTTTTCAAACAAAGAAAATTAAAATTCAATTTGACATGAATGAAAAACTGAGATTGCAACGATGAAATTGAAACCATAACTAAAAAAAAAGTGAAAAAAAAGGATTATTACTTTTGATTGAGATGAGAAAATCAGTATACCTTCAAGTCAAGACACTTTTCCCATCCGTTAGGGACTTGAAGGTTCAGGTCCAGTTCTTGGGAATGATCATTTTTTATATTGATCAAGGCGGAGCCACCACCTCCCAGCAAGTCCATAGTGATCAAAGCCGTTGATTTTGCTCCACTAGATTCATTTCCTACCGTTAGATCATCCTTGTACCCACTTAAAACTCTATGCATAGAGCTAACTTCGGCAGCCATAGCCACAGAGCTTCTTCTTCTTATTCTTCTTTCTTGAGAAACAGAGAAAGAGAAAGTCTGTGTTTTTTTTTTTTTTTTTTGCCGTGTAATGTAACAATAAATAGAGAGATATATATAAGCCATTTATAAGTGTTATAGAAAAATTGTGGTTACGTTATTAAATAAAAAAATTAAAAACGAAAGGTCATAATTGGTGTTATTATTTTTTAATTAAATTAAATTTCAATTTACTAAATAAATTGTTCTAATTAATTGTTTCATTTATTATTTTGCTTATGTATTTATGATAAGAGGAAGAGTAAGGAAGGGAAAGAAATTCCAGGAAAAAGGAAGGCATGCAAATAAATAGCCACATTAATTGCTTGGGAATACAGGTAGACAACAGTTACAAACTATTTAAGTATTTGGCATTTAAATTTTTTTATTATGCCACTCATTTTTTTTTATTTTTCTTTGATCCACATTTATTTTATTTATTTGAATTTTGGAATCCAATTTTTTACATAAAAATTTAGGGTAAGGGGATGTTTCCTTATTCCTGGACTAAGGTGGACCATAGACTTGAAAGAGCATTTATTTTAAATTTAAAGATTGCCCATCAAAGAAGTTTTTTGATAGTGAGGCTTTAATCTATAACTTAAAAATGAAATATTTAAATTTTATCAATTCAATCAATTTTTATTAATAATTTTGAAATTTAATTTTAAAAAAATCATACACTTGGATTTAGATGTATAAACAAATAGAGCGTTCAATAAATAATTTATGAATAAATTTAGTTTTCATTTGTTTATATTTTTTTTTATTAAACTTAACAAACGATTATGAATATTATTTCAAAATTTATTAATTAAATGAATAGATTACAAATATAATAAAATTTATTTATATTCGATTCATTTTTAAAATCTAAATGTAAACGAGTAAAGTTTTCGACAAATAATTCGTAAACATACTTAATTTATATTATTTTATTAAATTTAACAAATAATAACATATAACATTTTTAATATTTTTAATTGATCAAATAAAGTACAAACATAACAAATTGAGTTTATACCCATACTTGAATTGAGTTTAAAATTCTACTAATAAAAATAGAAAATTAACACATATCTCTTTACAGTATGTTAATAAAAAAATTATTATAATAAAAAAAACAATGACAATATTTTAATCTCTATAATGAAATTTAAAAATTTTATCAACGGATTATAAAATAATAATTCATTCAATTTATCCTATGTCTTTATTATTGTATTTAAAATTAATGTAGCACTATAACATTATTCGTTGTTTATACTCCATCATTAAATGGGACATGTCATCAAGGTCTTCAATGAAGTAGGTTTTGGTAGAAGAATGGGATTCTAAAAAGCATTTTTGACTTTTATTAAAATTTTAGGCACACGCGCTAAAAGCCAACGTGGCAATGGTGGCGTTTAGTTGAGGGCAGATCAATTTCTCAATTAAAATTCCTTTCTAATATTGTTGCTTCATTAATTTTCTTAAAAGGATTTTCAAATTATTTATGTGCACCGTTCCATCTTTTATTTGTTTAGTTTAGCTTTTAGGTTATTGTCAACGTCTCCAATGTTTTAAACTTTACCATGTGAAAATTATTAGGTACTTATCTTGAGCTGTATAAAGGTTAAATTTAAACAATATTTTCTTGTTTATAAGTAAATTTTTTTAAAATTTTTTAGAGTTTGGAAAAAAAATTCGAATATACTCTTTTTAGGATAGATAGTAAGATTGAAAATAATAATGAAAGTAGCATTAGTTACTAATGCGATAAAACCAAATTAAATAGTGTGATTTGTGTTTAGATATAGAAATAATGATAATATTTTTAAAAAAAGCAACGAGAATAGTAAGATGAATTGTGTAAAAAGAAAAAAATACTCGTTAAGGATATTAGATTAAAAATTTATGCAATAAAAATTTTAAATTATTTAACATTTATAAAATTTATAAATAATTAAAATTTAGTAAATTATTTTAATGTTAAATAATAATTTTATTAATAAATAATTAAAAATCAATAAAAATAAAAATAAGAATATATCAAATAATATTTTATATTATATTAAATTAATAAAATTATTTTTCATTTTTAACTAAAAATCAAAGAACTAAAAAAAAATTAAAATAGAAGTAATGATATTTTTGTATTTATAATAAAATTTTAAGAATAAAAAAAAAGTAAATCATAGACCACTAGACAAAAAAATCAGTTACCTACCTTAACAATTACAACATTGCAGTTGCATCTAAAAGTCTTTCCATTGTTATTTGATACAAAATTTCAAAATAACTACACCTCCACTAGAAGTGCCATATATTGCAATCCAGAAGGGCCATTACTCAATTGCAAAGATCCCTTTATTCAAAGTTCAACAAAAACTATAGTAATTAATGATTCTATAAACTTGATTCTATTTAAAAAATAATAATGAAAATTTGACATGCACGGCATTATGCACAATAATTAAGAAGTATTATTCTATATACCAATGATGCTAGATAGAGTTTAACAAATTCACAAGTGAATCATACACTGATCATCATCCATTTTAATTATAAATGAAAGGTCAACATAATTAATAAGTTAGCATAAATGTCACAGGCTGAGACTCAAGCTTTAGGCTCATGTGGCTCTAGGACACATGAATGGTCTCTTCCATATCCTAGATCAGCTTAACTATCATGATTCATACCAACTTTTGAGGTATTGTCTGCTTCGGTCCCCTTGACCTTATGGTTTTATCTTATAAAAGGTGCCTTACAAGTTGAAGGTGGTGTGAACTCTTATATCCTATGATCAACTCTAATACACAACCAATATGGGATTCATGACTCCTCCCTAGGACCATGATATCTTCTCCCACTTCAATGAAAGCCCACCATCTTCAATGGCACATTGTTAGTACCCTCAGAGCTGGCTCTAATACCACTTATCTATGGTGAAGACTCAGCTCTAGGGTCGTACAGTTTTAGGGTATAGGGATGGCCTCTTACGTGTCTCAGATTAGCCAAATTGTCACAGTTCACACCAACTTGTGAGGTATTAACCACTTTGACCCCCTTGGCCTCACGGTTTTGTCCTACAAAAGGTACCTTATAAGTTAAAGGTGGTGTGAACATTTATATCTTATGATCAATTCTAATACACAGCTGATGTGGGATTCATGACTCATTCTCAGGACCGTGACATATATACATAGTTATATAGATGTACTATGTAATTATATAAAGCCTAAATGCTCAATTTGGTCTGTAACATTTATGAGATTGCTCAAATTATGACCAGACATTTTAATTTTAACAAATAATATCAAATGTAATTTAGAATGAAATAATTAAGGATTTGGATGAATAAATCTAGAATTTGTAATATAAGCGCGGTTAGTTTTGCCACGTGAGTAATATTATTTCCAAATAAAATGCAACATTGGATACTAATGTGTAAAAATATATCTTTTTAAGAAAAAAATTAAAAAATTAAATAAAATTTACAAAATTATATTTTCCCAAAAAAAAAAACTTTTGCATGATTAAAACTCCCTTTCCTTTAATTCTCTCGTGTGTTTTTGAATTGCAAGCTAAAGTTTTTTTTTAATTTTTGGTTGGTAGATTTTCAAGCTATGGGTTTTAAACTAGTAAAACATGCTTGAAATGAAGAAGGAAACAAAAAGCCAGCCATTCACCTTGAAATAATCAAGTTGTTTCTTAAATCTTAACCAACTTTTTTAGCCAAATTTGAGAAAGAAAAGACCAAAAAAAAAAAAATTCACTATGGTTTCCCACTTCAAGAACAAAAAAAAAAAAAAAAAAACATAGGGAAGAAAAAGTCCACATGCGAGAGCAACTATAGCTTGGAAGCAGGGATAAGCCTAAATTTTAATATTAGTTTTTCTATTTAAAATTTCAGCACAAACAAAAAAGATCCTCTCTAAAATATGTTAGATAACTTTTTAGCAATACCTGACATGGTGATTTTTGGTAGTTGGAAGCATAAAAGCAAAGACCAATTCCTTTTAAAAGGAAAATTATAAAATTTTTAAATAATTATTAAAATTCATTTTTTTCCTTCAGATTCCAAGTAACCAAATAGAAGTTCATATTTCATACATTTTTCCCAAAATAAAGGAAAAAACCAATAAAGAGAGACAATCACCAAATTGATAAATTAAAGAATGCCCATCAATTGAAAATCTTTAAAAATAAAAAACCCATAAAGGAAATAAAAAAAAAATGAATGCTAAAATACCTTGATTAAGAAAAAAAGTCGAATTTGAAACCCTAATTAAAACCCCAAATGACAAAAAACACAATCAAGAAAATTAGCTTCAATAAGGGTTCAAATAAGAAACCCTCTAGAATTAAAAAAGGGAATGAAAAAGTGAGAGTTTGGATTTCTAAGGTAAGGTTCGAAAATGGATTAAAGATAGGAGATTTGAGTTAGGGAGTGAAAAAAAATAGTGAAAAGGAAAAAGAATGAAGAAAAATGAAAGAAAAATTTTAAAATTCGACGTAATCGAAGTCTTCAATTATATCATACCAAATTGATGTGGTCTTTGTAGACATCAATTTTGTTCGAGACAATTTAGCTTTGTTTGATTTTTGTACTCGATTCAAATGATTGGATTAGTAATTGAAACTCATTTGGATTTATCTTCAATTAATTGATTTTAGATCATTTTGTGTGAGTTAAAATCTGATCCAATTTTATTTGGTTAAGACCCAATTTAATTTGGATTAATTCAAAACTTTATTATTTGGACTTAAATAGCTTGAAAATTAATGTGAATCTAAATTTCAATTTTAAGCCCAATTAAAAGCCTAAATAGGGTTTATCTCATAGCCTGAAGGAAAGTTCAAATACAACCCATTACACGGCCCGTTTGCAACCCAAAAAAAGGGCCAAAGATAGCCCATTACATGACGCAATTTGTAACCCATTTATAGAACCAAAACTAATCTTTTTTCAATGGCTCAAACATGGCCCTTATGTGAGAAGCCTAAGCAAAAGACCATTCTAGCTTTAAGGCCCGTTATCATGAGAAAATATCAAGTTTTCATATGGGTACATGCATGGCAAAAAAAGGAAGACATGCAA